TAAGATCGAAGAATAAAGCATAAAGCTTTCCATACCTTAAATCCTGTGTTCGTCCACAAGTTTTGATATTTGTTCCTACTGCAACAAAAAGAGGTTTTGCTTGGTGGCAGACAAGATTTACGAGTGATGGGAAGCAAGTTATTTGAAGGTTTGTTTTGGGACGACCGCTCTCGGTATGAGCTTCGGGATCTTTATTCTACTCTCTTACATGAGCTCTATTTATAATAATTCTATGACATGTGTCAGTCCCTAATCAATGTGATAATATCGYTGAATCATGATTGGCTAAAAGAAATAATAAATTCCTAAGTATGATATTCTAATAAAGAGTAATACAAGTGAAAATCTTGGAATTAAACATAGCTTAAACTAAAGTTAATATATGAATATATTATAAACGTATAGAAAAGGATACGAGGAATATTTCTATCATAAGGTTTAAAAGAATAGTGCTAAAATAACTAAGCAAAGGGGTAGAAAGTGTGTAGGGCGTAACCAGAGGTGTACGTGCTAATGGGAGGAGCTAAGAGGTTTACTTGTGAATTCAATGCATACCATTATCTAAACTTGTGCGTGATGGTAGCCTTGCTGAAATCTTATATCAGTAGATATGAAACACCGGTTCTGCATCCGGTGCCACCGGTGCCAACCGGTGCTCTCCTCCAGACCCTACTCCGGGCCCGTAGGGGGAGGGGTGGTCAGCCAAATCTATTTTTAGTTTGCTGGATTGCAACACCTATATCTTTGAGGTTCGAGTGATTTTGAGGTTCCAGTCCACCTATTCTAAAGTGAGGTGTCAGAGTCTTGATCGGGGTACTCCACAAACAAAAGAAAACCACGAAGACTATGGTAACTCAACTTCACGCCTCAAGAAATTCAATTTTATTTCATTTCAATCTCGTAGATGTGTGACATCTATTAAGAGAACCCCTACAGAACCCTTAGAGAGCCCCTGGGGCTCTTCATACGGAAAGAAATTTCAAAGAGTTTTTCTAGTTTTCGCTTGATCTTTTGATCTGCGTGATTACCAGTTGGATTCGCCTCAGTGCAATGCAAATAATGAATAAACGTCATGCATCATGACAAATTTAATTATATTATATTTATTTTGATCTCGTATTTGAGATTTAACGATACACGTGTACCATACCTCACAGAATCTCAAGTTTTTAAACCGCTTATTGGTTTAAAGAAGACGGCAACTGGGCCTGATCATATACCCTATTAGATTTCGAAGGATTATGTTGATCTACTGATTCCAGTAGTTCATAAATGCTGGAACCTATCGTTGCAGACACATACTTGGCCTATCTCTTGGAAGGAGGCTACAATTAATCCACTTCCAAAGATAGACGTACCCATAGAAAGTTCTGATCATAGAGGCATAAACATTACACCAGTTATAGCTAGAGCCTTTGAAAAAATAGTTTATAATTCATTCTGTAGGGACATTTTTGAAAAACATCTAAGTACAAATCAATTCGCCTATAGATTAGGGGGTAGCTGTACTAATGCGCTTATTAGTTTACAGCTTAATGTCTTGCATGCAATCGCTAGATCATCAACACTGTAGGGCAGTTAGACTTTTTTCTATGGATTTCTCTAAAGTTTTTGATTCAGTTAAGCATAACATTCTATCTAAGAAAATCAAGTCTTTGCCTCAGAGCAGAAAAACGACAAGGCTGCTACTTTCGCAATTTTTTTCTTTATCTCTCATTCATCGCGCAAAAAAAAAAGTTTAGTGTTTCATTCGTGTCTCTTGTGCTTTAAACTTTTCACAAAATTCTGCTAACCTAGAACAATTCTACTTCAAGGTATTAGCGAAAATGTTAGTTTTTGTGCTGATCAAAATATCATCTCTCCCAACGTTCTGGACGTTATATTTCAAATACGCATTCCTTAAATTTCCCGAAATTTTGGTATTTTGTTAATCAGCCCCAAAAGAGCCTGTTTATGAAATATAAAGCTTATTAACGCATAAACGACGAAAGTATAACCCGTTTTTCTGCCCTGTCGTCCAAATGTCTTGTCTTGGGACACACTGTTCAATTATCTTTCTCTTATTTGATTTCATGACGAGAACCGTTGATAACAGTGTCCCTAGAGTCAATGAAGGGATTACTCTGGAGAAAACGTTTCAACAATAATAAGGTCCAAATAGCGTCCCTTGGGGCACTCCAGTTGGGTTTCACTACATCTACATCTATATAATTTATTTGCAAAATCCAAAAGGACATCTAGCAAATTCCAGTGCAAGTGCAAGATAAATTGAATAAATAAATATGTGCAAATAAGGTAATAATAATCGTGCTAATAATGATTAAATAAATAATAATCACTTAATGTGATTTTACCAATTATACAGCCCCCAATCAACCCCATATCGGCAACCTTCCAGTTATACCTTAACTGGACAGACCCCGACATGGGCCCAACCAGGCAGCTATACAATTTATAGGCAATGGAGCCCCACGCTCCCCAGTTATGGAACAATCCGACCCGACTTATCCTAATGGCTGAGGTTAACGGATAATAGATAATGATAATAGCATTTATTTAAACATGATAACTAAATTAGCAGCGGAGCTGGTGTGGTCGTGTATCTACAATACTAAATTTGTATAAAACAAATTTTAGTTGTCGTTCTAAATTTTTTTCGCTCAGAGTTTCATAACAATCTTGCATACGTCTCTAAATCGTGCTTACAAATCGAATACTTCAGAGTGATAAAATTATGTGGTTTTATACGGCCGTTAATACACTTTGCATTGCCCTTTTTTTTCGCGGAATTTACTTCACGCAAAAAAAACAAACAAACAAAAACATAGAAGTAGCACTCCATAAATACAGAACCCAGTGCCTCATGGCTATAAGGTTTGCCGCCAACTACAATTCAATATCTCTAATACAATATCTTCACTGATCCAGCAAGTTGGAAGTGATTGCATTGCTGGGCGTTGTTAGCTTTTGGCGCCAAGTTATAGTCGTGACGTTCACGGCTTATTGATCAGTTGGAATTCGAAAAATATAGCTTGCGTGTAGATGGACGACAAACAAGCTCTGGTGACTTGAATTTGCCAAAATGATAGCAAATTGAATTACGAAAAAAAAGGCGCGAGTCACTGGTCCAAATTGAGATCATG